TTTATATATATATATTTACATACATATAATAATAGTAATAATAATAATAATAATATATATAATAATAATAATATATATATATGTACGATATGAAAATGTATAAACTCTGTGATCCGTGTGGGAGTACCTTGATCCGATCTGTGGCGTCTGATAGTTTTTCCGGTGGTATGTAGTCATACAGCACACTGACTGACACGTGGCTGATATGCAGTTGGGCCCTCTGCATTTGAAATCAAACCAATAGGGACGCACATTCCAAACGAGGTTTATAAGTGAGTCTGTGTTGTTAATTTGGCATGGTAACTTTGGCTTATTATATCGGAACGCGTGCGAAAAGGGATTGAGATTGCTTTAGGTTTTTAAGGTCTAAGGTTTTGGGTACAAAAACGCATAGAGTGGTTAACACCTCCTCCGAGCAATCATTCACGACAGACTGGCTTGTGATCTGGCTTCCCGACATGGGTATACAAAACACAGGGGGAAATAGAATACGGAGGTATAAAATCATGGTGGAATATAAAACACAAACGTATATAAAGCACGAAAGAATATTAAACATGGGAGGAATACAAACACAGAGAAATATAAAACACAAAGAAATATAAAACATGGAGGAATATAAACCACATAGATATATAAAAGACCAAAATATATATATAAAACATGAGAGGGATATAAAAACGAAGAAATATAAAACACGGAGGAAAATAAAACACGGTGGAATAAAAGCCACAGGGATATATATACCCCTGATGTATATTGTTTCATGGACATACGCGCATACGGTTGTGTGTGGATGCTACTACACAATACCAACTGAAGTTTGCGCTACAAAACAAGTGCATTCAATAGGCATCTATGCGAAAACATATGGACAGATTACAACCGGAGATGTATTTGTGTACATGTCCCTTGTGATGTATATGTGTACATGTCTAACGAGGTGTAGAAACGATGCACACACACAGTGGGTCACATACCATAGGCTCTACTGTAGCAGGCGGGCTATGCCTTGGCTGATGTGTCGAGTCCTCCAAATCATAAAACTTTTCTCCGACACTCTGACTGCGAGAAAACAGAGATGTTTGTGCGTTGGTTCGACAGTGCAGAATTTTGCACTAGATGTGCAATCAATAAATAGATCAGGCATTTTTCGGATGCTATTCCTATTCATTCTATTGTGGACACGCTTTGTGCAAGATTCCGTTGATCACCAAGGAGGCAAAATAAAATATCGACATACACACACGGATACACCCCAGTTGTATACATATGCACACAGATACACATACGATTATATCCCGCGATACATGTACACACACATACCTACCCCAACTTACTTAGATACATACACATACATACACATACCCCAAGTCGCTTGCCCCCTCATCGTACTCCTCGAACTCATCCGTGTCAGTACCGTCACGTGAGAAGAGCGCATTAAACTCAGACTGGCGCAACGCCATAATACTCTGGTGTGCTAGTTCGCGCTTGTGGGTCACCTCACTTTCAGAAAAGGACCGATACATATCCTCCATCTGTTTATAGTCTTCCGCGGTCAGGCTCCTGTTGTATAGACGAGTTCGTATCAGGAGTTAGTATAGATGTGTGTGTACACGCATGCCTACAAGTCAATGTGTATGTATGTATATATGTGTATACATATGTATGTATATATGTGAGTGTTTTTCTATGTATATATGTGAGTGTATATGTGGTACATATGCAAATGTGAGTGCGATATGCATGCTTGTGCAATGGTCGTGTGTATGTCCTGTCACGTGTTTGTTCAAGAGATATTTTACATACGCAGTATTTTCATTTGGCGCGCACATCACAATTCTACATCACATACGTAACTACAAAAAGCATATTCTAACTAGATGAGACACATACACGCACTGTTGGGCAAGCGCGGCTGCAATAGCCTTCTTTGACCTGAACATTAACACACTCACACAGTTGTTCTGCAAGTATGGCTACATAACGCATCTCCGTACAAGTATGGTACTCGCATAGCAAGTATAACTATAATAAACAATATTTTACGGTATAGGTACACACACACACTCGCATAACAAGTAGAACTATAACAAACAGTGTTTCATAGTATAGGTACATACACACACTCGCATAACAAGTAGAACTATAACAAACAATGTTTCACAGTATAGGTACATATACACACACTCGCATAACAAGTATAACTATAACAAATAATGTTTCACAGTATAGGTACATACACACACTTGCTTAGCAAGTAGAACTATAACAAACAATAATCCACAGTATAGGTACATACACACACTCGCATAACAAGTAAAACTATAACAAACAATATTCACAGTATAGGTACATACACACTAACTATAATAAGCAATATTATAGGTACAGACACACACTTGCTTAGAAAGTAGAACTATAAGAAATATCTCGTTACACCATATGCATATACACACACTCACATAACAAGTATAACTACAACACCCCCCCCCCCCCTACCAATCAAGGTATATACACACACTTACTCAGCAATTAGGACTTAGAAACCGCCCCCACAATAAAGATATTCACACACACTTGCTCAGCATGTAGAACTACAAGTAGCATCCCTGAACAAGAAAGGTATATACACACTTGTTCAAATCCGTAAGCATATTATTCCGCAGTCTCCCCGATGCCTCAGAGTTCCGAACATCTCCACCAGGGTCATGCCAACTTTCCACCAAATTGCTATCAATAAGCGTGCGTGTTTGGTTACCGGTAGAGGTACGACCATGGGACAGTGCCTCACCCACAGTAAGACAATTATCCAGGAATTGGAGCATCGGCGATATCTGTAGGTAAATTGAGTGTAGTTTGAATTTTATAAATAGGACAGCGCCATACCCACAGTAAGACAATTATCCAGGAATTGGAGCATGGGTGATATCTGTAGGCAAGTGAGTGGAACGTGTGTTCTACCCATTTAATAAGACTGCGCCTCTCCCACAGACAACTATCCAGGAATTAGACCATCGCAATATCAGTAGGCAAATTAGTGTAACCTGAGTTCTATAAATTGGCCAGTGCCTTATCCACAACGAGACAATTGTCCAGAAAATGAAGCGATATATGTAGGTAGATTAAGTGTATCTTGGGTTCTATAAAAAGGCCAGTGCCTCTCCCACAGTGAGACAATTATCCAGGACACATATCAACGGCATTAACTACGGGCCGATAAGGTGTAAACTGGTCCAATATTCAGTGCCAGGTCTACTGATAAGGATCGGACAATCATTGAGATCAGTCAATCATAATCAAAAGAACCGGTCGCGAGTAAGAGCAAGCGGGCTCAAGTACCCGGTCAGTGAAGTACCGAACTGCACGCGGAATGATGAGCGGCTAACACTGGGGGGATTGCAAGGTGATTTTGTACTGCTTTGCAGGTCCCAGAGAGGATAGTATGTGGTCCATTGTGTGTTACTCAGATGCACCGAGAGACAGTATTGGGTGAACTAGTAACCTAGGGAAAGAATCCCTTCACAAACTGTTAAAAACAGTTCACAAGGGCTGTTACATTGGCATTTATTGATTACGACGATAAAAATTGATGTATATGTTATATTGATATAGGCATATATTGATTAGAAAGTTACAAATTGATGTCTATGTTTATATTAATATGTATTGATGTATGTTATATTAATATAGGCATATATTGATTAGAAAGATATAAATTGATGTCTATAGTTATATTAAAGTGAATTGATGTATGTTATATTGGTATAGACATATATTGATTAGAAAGGTATAAATTGATGTCTATATTTGTATTAATACGTATTGATGTATATGTTATAATCATATAGGCATATGTTGACTAGAATGATATAAATCGATGTCTATGTTTGTATTAACATGTATCAATGTATATGTTATAATGATATAGGCATATATTGCCTAAAAAGATATAAATGTTTGTATTAACACGTATCAAGGTATATGCTTATATTGATATACACATATAGCGATTAGGAATGCACACCACATCATCCGTGACCTTCGGCACCATGTCAGTACACTGACCATCTATTTATAAACTGCTATGGACTCATTCCACATCTAGACCCTTTAGGTGCGGATAACAAGCAAACAAAGGCGATCTCGCACTCGCATCGAGAGGTGAATAACGAAGATCAGATACACCGGCAATATATATATATACATATATATATATATATATATGCCACAGATACATACCACATCAGGACCCACTACCACGTGGACAGCAGTTATCACGCACTCGTATCGAGAGTGTGGCTGAAGCTGTGGCCGAGGCTCGGCCGCAGACGCCAAAGGAGCCGACGCTGCGGGAGGGTGGCGGTTTGTGTACCAAACGTTTAGAAAGTAACAATATAATAGTAATATTGAGTATGATAGTATAGTACTAATTATGATAACATGTTGAGAAAGATGGGATAGTAGTAACTTTTTATGTGTGTATATGTATATATATGTTTGAATATGTATATGCATGTTTATATACTTTTATACATGTGTATAAGTATGTATGTTTATGAGTATATGTGAATATGCGCATGCATTTATATGAATCAAACCCCCAAATCGGCGGTATTCAGTACAATCATCCCCCATCTACATCTTTAGAAATATATACCAAGCTTTTCAAGCAAGACTACATTTCACAATGACTAAGAATAAAACGAAACGACACGCATCGTTGACAGTATAGCACACACCGTTATAATTTGCTCCAGCAATAAACCAGGTTTTTCAAAGGCACTTTACATTTAACCAACAATATCCCACCCCCCACACACACCACACACCATCGACGGTATCTTGCACAATGCGCAACCAGCAGTCATCAGGGCCCACACACGCCAGTGCAATGGGGATCAGGTTATCTTGATAGTCCAGCTGTAGGAGAAGTGTTTGTTATGTGACAATAGCACAAAATCAGGTGATCTGTTGTATGATTGTACTGTTTGCAACTGTTTAAGAGGTGTTTGTTATGTGACATTAGCACAGAATCAGGTGATCTGTTGTATGATTGTGCTGTTTGCAACTGTTTACGAGGATTTGTTATGTGACATTAGCACATTATCAGGTGATCTGTTGTATAGTTGTGCTGTTTGCACCTGTAGAAGAATTGTATGTTATGTGACATTAGCTAATTATGAGGTGATATGTTGTTACGTTGTATTGTTTGCAACTGTACAAGATGTATATGTTATTTATCCGACTATCCGGACAAAAAAATTAAACAAAACAAAACAAGCCCCCTCGTGCCATTCAATGACATCTTTCATATACACCAACCCAACTGTTCAGCTATATCGACCCCCTGACTCTAACGCGTAAGCAACGATCCTGACCCTAGTTAGCTAATCACACCCGAAAACTTCACCCGTCCGATGCACAATGGCGCCTCGCATACACCCCACTCACCAATTCAGCTACACAGACCAACAAAAACAATGCCCTTGACCTTCTATACTCACCCCAAACTCCACCCGTTCGATGCGTAAGTCCCGTGTTTGCACCTCCTTGAGCCCAATTCCCATCGACAGGTCTTCGTACCGAACTTTTTTAATTTTGAGACATAGCCGCGGGTCGCTAGGTGTGTGCACGGCCGATGACTGGATATACACGGTGACGTCAAGCAGCCTGCCCTTGATCTATTTATAATTAAATAGAATCATACACTATTTTTAGACAGAGAGCATTCTAATGCGTTTACTTCGAAGACTCTTACATAGGTACAAGATCGGAGATATGCTCCCTGACGGATCTACCTACTATGCTATTGAGTCAAGGTGAACCTTAATGTGCACCGTTATACATGAATCTACATTGCACTACAGACATACGAACACTACAGACATACGAATACACACAAATTCGCATTAGACACACACAGACACAGATACACATGTACACCATCCAAAGAGATATGTTTTCTACGAAATTTCCAACATAACATCCATACACACACATCTATATTAGCCACTTACCACGATATGCATGCACATACACGTACCCCTCAAGCATACCAAACTCCGTGTGTGTATTCGAGTGTGTCTTAAGTGTACAGCCAGATTATATGCACCGCCTGTCTTCACTTACCCTGGAGAGTATATTCTCCACTACCCCAGCCACCATCGCAATGCCGTCGAGGGTGTCGCGCTTGTGCGCGGAGTTGGCTTCGTCGTCACTGCCGAAAGGTACCGAACTCTTGTTATTCGGGGCGGCCGTGGATTTGTCAGGCCCTGTTCGATTTTTTGATTGGTTGTTGAAGTTGACGAACGAGTATTTGAGTGTGAATGGATATGCAATATGGTAGTGTACGTATTAACGAGAGAATATATATTAATGAAATGTTTTGTATTGTGTGCACTTTAATGGCAGTATCTTTGGGCCAACCAATGGTAATGAACAACAATACCAATATCACTGAAATTTACATGGATGTAAGATTTTGTATTGTGTGTATTTCAATGACGATACATTTGAACCAACTGACAGTGACAAGGTGATGGCAATGGTCTCCAGTACCATGTGTACATAATGTCAATATCACTAAGGCATACATGAATGTAATGTTTTGCATTGTGTATATGAATGTAATGTTTTGAATTGTGTATATGAATGTAATGTTTTGCATTGTGTACACTCCAATAGCAGTACCTTTGAATTGACCGATAGTGAAAATGGATGGCAATGACTTCGTATTTTGTGTGCGTACATCAATGCCAATATCACCAACACGATCCACAGTGATAAGGTGCTCCACGTACCACAGATGTATACACCCGCAATTTATGAAGGTATTAGTCAGTGGGGTGGTGATAATATACATAAAACAAAAATGAGTTTTAAAGTAAAGTGGAGTAAAGTGGAGAGTCTAGTCAGAATAAGGAAAAAAACAGCAAAGCCTAAGAATACTTGGGGGGATGGGTGAGATGCAAAGTTTTGCTGGCCCTACATATTGTTGTACTTAAAAGGGTATGATATGCATTTGATAGGGTGGTCATGTATCGGGATATCTTGCTTAGGTCTTGGTCTGTGGGTACATACCAAGAGTAACGCAGTATAAACCGGACACGAGTTAGACAACTGAGTATCTATAACTTGGGTGTGTGGTATCGGCTTTGTCGAGTACGTCACTATTGTTCAACCAGAACCCAATACAATCTATTAATAGAACAGCAGTCTATTAATAGCACATACCGGCACCGTCACCCGTCCCTCGACTCGGTATGAACACCAGAGTGACCTCGGCCATCTCAATGACACAGCTCTGCGTGAGGAGATCACGCCATGGCACCTTGATGCTCACCCGTCCTACAGACCCTTCCTTCAGCTCAAAAGGAATGTCTTGCAAAGCAGCGTTTATAACCTATTTAAAGAATATAGTACGTGATTGTATTGTATTGAATGTTTATTTTAAAACTCGCCCCATTGAACCCTTCCTGTAGTCCAAAAGGGGTTTCTTCCAAGGGTGCATATATGCCCGTTGAATGAATATATTTGTAACATACAGAATAGTTTTGAGAATTCAATTGTTAAACATACATAAATAGTTTTGAAAATAAGCTTGAACCATAAAACCTAAATTTGAGCATTCATACAGTGACTAAGGCGCGAGTCAGGCGCGTGTGACCTAATAGACATAGCGAATGAACGGAATACATACTGTGGTGTTCAGATGCAGGTTCTTCAACGTCAGATAGCCATCAATCACACCCAGGTCGACCTGGTCCATTTCCAGCTCATCGTTCAGTATCTGCGAATATTGTGAGATAGATGAAGCGGCTTGAGTTTCGAGACCATGACCGACATATAACTATCCCTCAGTACCAATACTCCTTTACATCACGAGAAAACATGCGTGCATGCGCAAAATAAATGAATTGTTAGCTCCAGATATATTTGAAACGATATGTTTGGACCGTAGTCTGGCGTAGAACATGCCCAGCAAGGTTTTAGAATTATCGCATACGAGAAGAGAAATAAATATGCAGGTATGAATGTCACACATATACAAAGTCATAAACCAATTTATTGAAGTATTTGTAATGGGAGACTAAGTATGGCATAGAAACAATGTCTATATATGAGTACATATTTGCAAATCTACGCATAAAAAAGTATTTTATGACATTTTTTGATATTTTTGATATTCAACATATACATATATAT